TGGAGCTACTCATTGAAGACCTGGGTGGACCTGAGGTGTGTTCTTCACTTACATTGATATCAGATCAACATAAGGTAAATTACAGTATATTCATTGTCTTTTATGTTATAAAAATGACTTCAAATCAATATCAACTAACTTGTTGCTCACTCATTCACAGGGTCTGTTACCAGCTGTACAAGATTTACTTCTTGGAGTTGCACACAGATTTTGTGTAAGGCATTTATATGTAAACTTTAGGAAGAAATTCCCTGGAAAGAATCTTAAGAAGCTTATGTGGAGGGCAACTACAACAACCCACCCACAAAAAATGGGAGAAAGAGATGAGAAGTATCAAAGAGGTTAACTAAGACGTTTTTCACCACTTGATAGCTATTTCTCCAAGGCTTGCCACTCTTAGTTTAAATATCTTTTACTTTCTGATTATTTTACATATTGATTGTATGACATACATCTTCATTAAAGGTTTTGATCCAAATCAAGGTTCACAAGCACAACACAATCTGATACCTTGGTAAATAACATGTCAGAAGCCTTTAATAGTGTTTTGGTTCAAACGAGATCAAAACAAATAATTAAAATGTTGGAGGAAATCAGACTTTACATGATGAAGAGATGGGCCACTAATAGGTCAATGGTAAGGTCATTTAAGTCATCAATTTGTCAAAAAGTAGTCAATAGACTACAAAAGGAGGCACTACTAACAAAGAGTGGATTCCCAAGTATCCAAGAATTATGAGATATGTATTTTTTTCTTTATTTGTAGCACAGATGGTCTAAATAACTAATGTTGGCTTATGTTCACAGTTGGTCTGCACAAAGGTTATTTGAAGTCAGACATGTGTCCCAAAGTGGGGACAAGTTTGTGGTGAATATAAATGAATATTCATGCTCCTATCGGAAATGGAACATCAGTGGAATACCTTGTGTTCATGTATTGTCAGCAATGAGGTTTCTCAACATAGATGCATAGGACTACATACCTCTATGCTTTCAAAAGTCAACGTATGAAGAAATTTACTCCTCTATTATCTATCCTATTAATGGAAACAACCTCTGGGTGGTAACCCAATATCCAGATGTCATGCCTCCATTAAACATTGTAACTACAATGATGTTCATTACACATAGAACAGTAACAACCCCAACCAAAAATTTCATCCACCTTTCAAGACCTATCACAACTTTCTGCACATCAATCTTCTTATCACTTTCATTTTTCTAACCTCTTCAACAACCTTTCATCATTTGCTTCCAACACCTCACAACTAACACTTTCGTGAAATCCCCAATCACTACACCATCTGAAGTAGTTGCATCTAACATTTTCACTTCCAACCTTATACTTAGGGCAACCCTAGAATTTTTTGCCTCGATTCTTATTGGTTTCCGTAGTCCTCAACACAGACTTCTCTCCATAATGACAAATCAGTGATGAGTCCTTCCTATTCCACCCTCCATCTCCACTAGAGCTCACATTCCTGTTCCAGCCTTCATCTCCACCAAAGCTCACACAACGTAATTGCTTTTGACACTTACTACAAGTGGAAGATGAACACGAATGACCCATAGACATTGTTGTTTCTTCTGCTGTCGCACTTCCCTCTTTCGAAACTTCAAGTGCTTTCTAATCTTCAAGAACAATGAACCCTAGATCCCTAAATTATCATCTGCATATGCCACGTTTTAAAATCCATTAAGAAACCCTATTTTTAAAATCCATTCTCATCTGCGTATGCCATGTTTTAAAATCCCTATTTATGAAATGCCATATATAAAGGTCTCAGAATGCCATATTTTAAAAACTGGTCACGTCAACCTCCCACCTCATCAAAAACTTAACCTTGTTAAGCCAATTTAACGATAGAGGCTCAATTGACTCAAATTAACATTTTTTAGGACTAAATTTGGATTCTAATAAAACGACGATCGAATTGGAAAAAACCCACAAAAATAGGGACAACTAAAGGCGTTTAACCTTTACTAATTTATAGGCTAAACAACTAGCTCTATAGGAGGCTAAAATTATATTTTGTGAAAGAAGGTAAAATTTATGATAAATGTTTAGTATTATAGATTACAAATAAAAAATAGGTATACTACCTATTTTGGTTTCTTAGTTTCTATGGTATATTTAAAGTTGTTCTATTTTTTTTCAAAAGTTCACAAAGTCTTATATTTTGTAAAAATAGTCCAGTTTAATCCTTTTTGCTTACAACATTAAAAACAATTACAACTTGTATACTTATTTATTATGTGGCATGCTGAGTTGAAATGACTTGACAATGTGTGTGGAAATGTTAAAATTGAAGTAGTTGGTTAAAAATAAAGGGCTAGGACAATTGTTGATTCGTGTTAAAGATAACAAAGTTGTTGTTCCTAAATTTAAAAGCAAAGGGTTAAGGTTGTTGTTGATTCGTCCTCAAGTGAGCAAAGTTATTGTTTCCAAATTTAAAAGCAAAGAGTTAGGGTTATGAATGACTTCTTCACAAAGTTGTTCTTTTCGTTCGAAGACTTGGGGCAAAAGATTTTCACATTCCTCACATGGTGGTATTTCTATTCAACGAATTAGAAAATCATAAACAGCATCTAAAAGAAAGTGTCACTAATTGAAATCTCTCAATAAACTATATGAGAAAAATAAACTAGCTTCTTATGAAAACAAAAGTCTATCTCTTATATAGCACTAAACTTAAAATAACCTTTTCATTCAGTACAATATTATATCAAGCAAAGCCTTCTAGAGAAAACATCATCTAATACGTGACTGTTGAATGCTTTAGCCTTTGAGAAAGCATCTTATGTTTATATCATCTAATGAATATACATTTGTCTTACAAAATGATGCATTTATTAATGAAATAATAAATGATAAAATGTCTTGAACAAACTACACTACTTAACTATTATCAACGTTCAAAACATTTAATGCATGTACGAAAAAATACTTTAATGTTTGTATACTTTATTTCTTGATATTTGTGTAGATCAATAAAGAAAAAAGATATAATCAAAATAATAACATCCAAGAAAAAATATGTTGTGAGAGAAAAGGAACATTTTGAGAATGTTTCCTTCAAGCCATTTACTCTGTCACATCATACAAGCTCAAGTTCACATCGGGCTATAGGAAAAAGCTCTACTACTCTACAATGTAGACCTAAGCCTTACCAAGTTACTAGAAAAGTCTATTAAGCTTATCTTGATAATCAACTCAATATCCAATGATAATCTCATGAAGTAATATATATATATATATATTCATAAGTGAATTCAAACACTTATGATGTTATATTCATAAGTGAATTCAAACACTTGTATATATCGTTTAACTCAACGGAGTTAAACATTCTAGACAGATTGTTTAGTGTGGATACGAGGAATGATTAAACTCATTCTAGTCAGGTTTATCAAGAGCGATTTTCATTCTTTATAATCTTTGTAAAATGTCAGTGGAACCTCTTAATAGGTTGTTAAGGGAGATCTAAACATAACTCAAGTTGAGTAAACAAAAAAAGAAAAAACTAAAGTGTGATTTATAACATTTATTTTCAAACAACGTTTTCCATTCAAACGTTATATTTAACTAAGTGTGTTATACTACTATGCAGCCCATCTAATCACTATTTGTAAAAGAGCCTTAAAAATACTATTCAAATCCCCAAATTTTAGTGTTTTCCTATATTTCATTATTGGCTCACATAAGAGATATATACTCACTACATACGTTGTCGATGACGAGCAGGTATAAGATAGTCCCAAGTTTGATCCGTGAATATCCTAGTTTAGGTTACTATCATCATATTCGCTTACTTAGTAAAAACTTCCTTAGACCCTACTGCCTTTTAGCTCATAATATACCAAATAGGGACTTCCCAAACATAAATACTCTTACCTCGATTTGATCTTAACTCATTAGAACCAAATTTAGATTCTTTTTGAACAAATATATTTTTGAACATCTTTTAAGGATAACAAAATATGATGATTACCAAGTGATCTATATACCATACAAACAAGTACACATAGTACTAAAAAAAATAATACAACATATATATAATTTTCTTTATAGTTCATTGATTTTTATTATTTTATATATTACAAAATTATAAATAATGATATTTTAAATTAATATTACCTTATCTTCTTTCTCTTTGTATATATATTGTTTACAAATTAATATATTAAGAAGTATTTTTTTATTAATTATTTTTATTATAGTACAATATTTCATAAAAAATACTAATGATTTTTTTTTCATTATTTAGACTTTATTTAAATAATATATGATTTTTTTAAATAAATATAATTACAAGAGTAAAAGGATAAGACTTTTTATCTCTTATTTTTAGGTACAAATAAAATAAATAATATAGTTATTTAAAATAGAGATGTCACATAATATACACAATTATGATAAACAAAAACATATTTTCAAACATAAACATTTCAAATGTCAAACAAAATATTTATTTTCATTAAATATATTATTTCTTTTAATATTTATATCCAACTAAACAAATGGATAAAAATTATCTCCACCCTTTATTTTATTTTTATTTTCGTCAATTAAAACAATATTTGTTCTCACTTATAATTCACTTCTATTTATTTATTTCTTCCTCTCTCATTTCATTCCTTTTCCAAATGGACCCTAAATAGTAAATTTCAAAGGTTGATCAGAAGACTTCAATCAAATATTTAAATATGGATGCATACTAACAACTCATTAAGAAAAAGTTAGTTTATTTTATTATTAAAAATAACAAATTTTCATTTAATACTTTGAACAAACCTTTTTGGAAAATTATTATTTCTCTTAAATTAACCACTATCAAATATGCTATTAAATTAATTGAAAAGAAAAAAGTATTGAAATTTAAATGCAGGATTAATATATTTATTAAGAAATCCGTTATGGTGAGCAGAAGGAAAAGAATCAGTCGTTTTTGGACAGAAGAGACCCCCAAAAGAAAAAGGGCAGTAGTATAAAAAAATTCCGCGTTTAAGTATATACTTGTTCAATCCATTGTCAAAATTTCAAAACACGGAAAACGACAAGCAAAGGGCGAGAGCAAAAAAGTAAAAGAAAAAGGAACGGAAAAGCCAACTACGCACTTGTTACGTTGCCATTGCCCTCGATCCGCGTCTGTTCTCAAGCGAACCTTACTAATTAAGTTCTCGTTGCAACAAAACGTTGAGCAATATAGTTTCTAAACCCTCGTTTGTTTTCGGAAACGCGCTTGCAGACAGCACACAGCACACAGTGATATTCGAGTCCGTAGAGAGCAGGCGACGCAAGCGAGCGAAGCCGCCGCCATGGTTAGGGCTCGCGAGAACTGGGAGAAGCTGGTTCGAGCCTCACTGAAGAGGGAGCAGCTAAGGAATGCAGGCCAAGGACACGCCAGAGTCCCCAGCGGAATCGCCGGCGCGGTTCCTCCGTCCCTCGCGCAAACCACTAACATTGATTTGATCTTGCAGGCCGCCGATGAAATTCAATCGGAGGATCCTAACGTTGCTAGGATCTGTAAGTGTTTCAACTTGCTCAATTGGAATCTGTTTGCGTGTTTCAAGTTTCGATGCTGCGTGCGTTAACGTTGTCTGTGAACATGAGATCTGCTCGTGCGTTATAGTGTTTCTTGAAGTTAGTTTTAGGTGTAAGGGGAGTGAGTGAGTCTCTTCTAGAAGTTAAGTTTGTTTATTTAATTTATTTATTTTTAATTTGCGGAACTGGTAGTATTAAGGAATGAGTGAAACTTGTTTCTAGCGGGAATTTGAGTTTAGTGGTGGCTGAAGTGAAATGTTTGGTGAAGGTAGGGTCATTTTGAGACGAGGGTGTGTAAATGGAGGTCGTGATAGTCATGTTTAGTGCGGAGGTGAACATGGTATGATATTGTGTATGCGATTAATTAAGTGGATATGAAAATGGAAGGGGGGATTTTACGAGCTAAAAGGATGGAAGGAGGACTGAGTGCCTGATACGCATGTTGTCACTCTAGTGGGAATTTTCTGTACTAGAAGTGGGATAGTTGAAGCTGACAAAGTAAGGTGACTTGATCTTAGTTTCGCTACATTTGAGCTTTTTTGATTGGTTAGTGGATATTTAACGTCAATTACGAACTAGATTGACAATCATGGATTAGGCTAAGCTCACTAGAATAATACAAGGGGTAGGGGTTTGTTGGTCTAATTTATAACCACATTGCAATATTTTACATCTTTTATGTATGTTCTTTGGAGTTGCCTTCATTTTTTCTCTTTATATTGGATGGTGTACCTCTTTATTATGGACTCGTCGTAACTTGTGCTTTTCTTTTCTTTCAAAATTGTCTGTTTTACAGGATTAAGACCTTGAGTTTTATGTACTTGAAATGAGAGAGTATACTGAATTGTGTGTCGTAGTCAGACCACACTATATTTTATTTTTGCCAGTTAATTGTTACGTAGTTGGTACCATCATGATTACAAGAGTAGTTGCCTGATGTTAATCACCTCATTTGAATACATTTTTTTTTGTCAAGGTGATGAAGAACCATCATTAAATATTAGTCATGGTGAACAAAAGACCAAATTGACACAGTAGTAGCAGCCTGAGAGAAAGTATGATTGGTTTCAAAGCCTAAGATTTGCATTCTTTCAGCCCAGGAAGGAAATATAATTTCACTTGCTCGCGTTAAATATAAATTTAGTTAACCGCTCCAAAGTATAAACTTATGTGTAGTGTATGTGGCTTAGTTGTTCTATTACGTTCTCTTGTCTCTCAAGTTTCAACTTAAATTGCTGATATTTCTCATGCATTAGTTAAAATTTTATGCATACCATATTACTTTTTGAGCTTATCTCAATGTTCATGTTGGGGAAAAGCCAAATACGATATTGGCTAGAGCTAGAACCTATAAGGTTGGTTTTGTAGTTTTGAATTATGCCTAATTTCACATTCTAATATGCTATCAAAGTCTATATTAGATCCTTAAAAGGGTCACCGACCATATTATCCGTGTACCGAACTCAATAGTGCTGGATATGAAATGGTGTATTGGGAAAACTCGAGTTCCATATTGGTTAGAGATGGAGCTTGAAAAGAGATATCAATGGAGACAATCCTCAACTTATATGTTGATTTCACAGGGTTGTTAGGTCTCACATTTTACAAGTTCATGTGTCTGTCACGTGAAATACGAAGAAAGATATCATAATTTGTTGCATGATACATATCATATTAATATTGGGTCAGCTTGAATCAGCTGATAGTGTTCCTTTTGTGATATGCATCATTATGACCTCTTACTTTTGATCTTCAGTGTGCGAGCAGGCATATAGTATGGCTCAAAATCTGGATCCCGACAGTCATGGTAGGGGAGTTTTACAATTCAAGACTGGTTTAACGTCTGTAATCAAGGTACTGGCATGATCTGTGTATATTTAGTGATACATTACCTTTTTCTTCAATTGATGTTTTCTTTTTATTTGTCTGACTTTAAAGAGACTATCAGCTCACTTAATTACTACTTTCGTTTTGCTATCTTCTTTAGCAAAAACTTGCTAAGAAGGATGGAGTTCGGATTGATCGCAATCGTGACTTGGAAAACCTTTGGAAGTTTTATCTTCACTACAAGCAACATCATAGAGTGGATGACATTCAACGAGAAGAACAGAGATTGCAAGAATCTGGAACTTTTAGCTCCTCATTGGGAGAGTATGTCCAGCCCATAATTTTTTTTTTAAAAATTTAACTTATAAATATGTTGTTTATTTCTTCGGTAAAATAGAAGGAGGTTATTTCCTGTTTATGCTGTGTTGATAAAGCTCGATGCTTATTTGCAATTATGGCCTTAAATTATTTTTCTCAATGGATAAAATTACCAACTTGTTTTTGTTCTGTAGAGTTGTTTGTATATATTAATCAGAATTCAAGGCTTGGTTTATTCATTTTGGCTCAAGGCTTGGTTTATTTTTCTTTTCCCAGATAGGTGATTAAAAGGCAATAGAAGGTTTCTGTGGTTAAGAAATCATTGTATTGAAGGTGGTGAAAAATAATATAATGTGTTAATATGCAAAATAATAAACTAAATGTTGAACATCTAAGACAGCAGATAGACTATTAGTTTTCTTTCCTTAAGTCTTATATGTCAGTAATTATACTTATACATAATTTGTGCTGTAGTAAAACTGTTATTGGTTGGCTGCTCTCCTCTCCTAACTAAAATTCTTAAACTATGAAGAAAGCCTTTCTTATTTACCTTTTAGATTTTGTTGATTAAAAACCTATATGTATTTATCTATATTGTGTTATTTTTTGAGTGGTATAATATTTGTGTGAACTGTTTTAATACTGTAGGTTGAAGCTTAGATCATCAGAAATGAGAAAGATCATTGCTACGCTACGGGCTTTAGTGGAGGTCCTGGAGGCACTTAGTAAGGATGCTGATCCCAACGGAGTTGGAGGACTCGTAGTGGAGGAGGTACTCCTTTTGTGTTAAGATCTCTATCATAAAGCAAATTAACTTTACTGATTATGCATTGAATGCTTCAATTATTTTAAACCATTCATTTTATTTTGATGATTAATTTGGTTGCTTTCAAATTTATAAGCCACTAGTTTTTGTTCTTTTTGTATTGCGAATTGACATCTAATAAAGGAATATAAAAATCTTTTGACTGCCTGTTGTCGTTTGTTTCTTTTAAAATTCTATTTGAACATGACAAATCTTCTTAAAGAACTTATTTTTTACTAACTGATTATGATTTGTAATTAGCTCATCGTATTTGTCTCATGTTTTCTTAGTTGAGAAAATTAAAGAAGTCAAGTGTGACATTATCTGGAGAGCTTACACCATACAATATTATTCCTCTGGAAGCACCATCATTAACCAATCCTATCAGAATTTTCCCTGAAGTAAGTTGAATGCTTTATAAGACTTCTGTGTCCTCTCTCTCTTTCATTCAAGTTTCTTGTACTTGACCCATTCACTGTATTGACAATAATTAGGAGTTGCTGACATTGACACATCCATTTATGCTGCGTGATTTCTGTAATACCCTTGAATTCATGTACTCTCTGTGGTAGTTTCTAAAGCTGAGGTTTGGTTCTCAATATCAGGTTAAAGCTGCAATATCTGCAATTAGGTATACTGATCAGTTACCTAGACTTCCTGCTGGATTTAAAGTATCTGGACAAAGGGATGCAGACTTGTTCGATCTTCTAGAATTTGTGTTTGGTTTTCAGGTTTGTAATGATTGGTGGGAATTTTTAATTCTATATATCATTGCTGTGTGTCATGGCTAATTGCATCGTAACTAACAGATCTCTTTCAAGGTTCCTGCTGGATTGGTCATCTATTTTTTTTTTTGAAGTTTTATTACTGATACAAAATGGTGGTTCCCATTCCCAATATTTTAAATCAACAATTAGCAAAAGATGAATATTTGCTACTACTAATAACAAAGAAGGGGATTTTGTTACACTAAACATATGACTTCTACCTGTTCCATTTCCAAATAGCCCTCTTACTGACATTGTTCAACTGTATTGGTAGTTACATGTCTCTTCTCGCACTTAAGCTTTGTTTACTAGCTAAGATTAATTTGCATGGTCTACTGGCTGCTTTACACTTGGTGCATGTTTGATAAAGCTTTTCCCATCAATATTAGCTGTTTGATTGAAAATAAGCCATTTTTAAAGTAAGCTAGATTTTTTGAGGCACAAATTTGAAATTTTGTAAAAAGCTTACTTTTTTCCTGATTTTCTTTTTCTTGAAAAGAAAATTGTTTTCTTGAATCTGAAAATTTATTGCTTATAATTATTATCAACAGTTTCTCCTGTCATGAGCTTCACACATACTATTTTTCATGTAAAAGCTGGTTTTTTGCATGAAGGAGAGATGGAGACTCCATATCTGTGCCAACATGTGTAGAAGGACGGAAATGATAAGGACCATGAGACTCACATTTGGTGTCAATCACTTGTCTCGAACTTCGGTCCTGTAAACAATAGAAGTTAGGATGAATGAAATAAACAATCAAGAAAACGAGTTAGTAAACTAATGGATAATAAGTTTAAAGGACACATAGGAACAAAAAACATTATCAATGTATAGAAAAGGAAAAAGGTTAACCGTCCCAACACCATGATGTAACGCATAACACCTGTCAATCTTGTGGACTAGTTTGCCACAATGGTCACACTTGTGACGTTTTCCTAGCTTGCGAGAGCGGTAACGATCATCACGTTGAAATGCAAAACCAGAGGAATCATCAGAAACAAATGTATCATTGATAGGTTTACTTGGCACACATAAAAGGGTGGAGCAAATAGAAGTAAAATAAAACTAGGTATAATAGGGGAACCCAAAACTTGATCACGAACATGAGAATATTTATCAACAAGCCTCGTGTAAAGCTAATACCTTGAACTTTGACCGTTGCTCTATTTCTTCGATAGGAGGTAATAACTCATTAAATTCATGAAAAAGAGTATGAGTCTTACCTAAATAATCAACCATAAGGTCCTGATTTCGAGAAGCAACACCATTGAAAAGATTGTGACAAACATCATAAAGACATTGAGTACTGTTGGTGTACAATAATTTTTCTTGTTCCTAGAGTTCAGAAGATGTGCCGTAGGCAAGAAACTTTCGTTTTAAAGAAGATTGAATGGTTTTCTTGTGAACCATACATTACATTACTGAGCATCAATTCTTTTCCAATGGGAAAAAGTCATCGGGAGCAATATCAGTCACTTTTTTGAATAAGATGATCAAGATACCCTTGACTTTCAAGCCAAAGTTTAATGGCTAACGCCCTAGTCACATAATTGGTGCCATCTAGCTTATCAATGGGTAAGTGCAAATTGACATAGTAAAGATTGACGGGTTAAACACACTGGTGGTAGAAGAGACATCGAATGAGGAAAAGGCAACAAAAGACTCTATGGAGGAGAGAAGACCCATAAAACACCAAAGAGGTTTGATCAGATCAGCGAAACCAGACCTGGAAAGATGATGAAGAGGTGATCTCAGAGCAAGTGATGTTTAAGGGAGAGGGGTCTCGACATGCAGTGCCGATTACATGCGTGAGGGAGCGTGGCTACTTCGATGACGGTCATTCTTGTGGCATGGTGGTCGTATGACTGAGATGATCAAAACCGTGCGGTTGCTGGTTTGAATAACTCCGGCGACAATGATGGTGGCGATGGTGGTGGTAGTGATTGTAGTGGAAGATGTGACGGAAAAAATTGCCAACAAATCCTAAGCTCTAGATACGATGTTGAATATAGTGAAAAACTAGGTATAAGGTTAATCTTCCTTGTGTAGAAAATACACATATGGTAATGTATTTTTAATTAAGAGAATGTGGGCTAAAGCCCAGATACTAATGAATATATAAAACTAACATAACTAACATAGGGTCATGTTTCCCTAATTAACATAAAATGCAATATATCTAACACAAGGCTTGACATCTCTTTTGTTGTTTAAGTAGTTAATCAATTTGTGCAGGCTCATCTTATTGATCACGGGAGTGCAGTGATTGACATTCTCATATGTATAATAAGGGCATTAGGAGAAGGATTGTTGTATGAAGATAAAGTCGATACCCAAATATTTGTTTACTGTGATCCTAATTGTGCAGGATCATTTGTAAACTGGTACTGCGCTACTGGATATTGTATATTCATTGGTAGGAATATGATCACTTAAAAGAGCAAGAAGCAGTGTGTAGTGGCCAGGTTTAGGTAGAAGCAGCATAGAAGGCAATGGCCTCGGCCACATGCGAGTTAAAAAGTTGAAGTGCTGTATGTTTCTGCAATTGAACTGTATGGCAATATCCAAACAGCTCTTTACATTGCCTCTAATCCATTACTTTGTGAGAGAACTAAACATATAGAGATTGATTATCCTTTTGAATGTGAGAAGGTGGTGTTCAAGGAAATCATATTACTGAATTTGCCAGCTGCCAGCTCAATTGATCAAATTGCATACATCATGACAAAGTGTTTAAAGAGGGCCTCCGTTTAAGTTATAGTGGCCGATATTTGTGTGTATAGCCACTTAAGATTGAAACTGTAAAGTAATTCTAGAGGGCTTAATTGATCCCTCACAATCTTCTATTTATAAGAATAAATTGATACACAAGTACATGATAAATAGGGTAACCCTAGACA